TGTAATGCCTAATGCCTTGCCTTCCAAATCACTGCACTCCATGAATGGCTGCTGAATAAAAGTCTTTCCCTTACAGTAAGTCCATGAAGGACATTTAAAAACTCAGTTGTCTGACTGATATTTAGGCTTTGAGAAGTAAGACAGAGATTTCCTACATAATCACCAACCTCTGCCTTTACCTCCTACACTTTGTCAAATCAGTCTTCATGTAAATCATGAGGTTGGAAAACTTGATTTCTCTTGATGTCTCAGTGTTTTCTAAACTTTTGTCCAAAAGTAACTAAATTCCCCCCATGCTAAAAGAATATTTATTTACCATTTTAGTACTTTACAAAGATGGGAATTTTTTTTTCCAATCTTAATTATTCTCTTCTGGTATTAGATAAGATGCCCTTGTCTAAGTTCAGCCATTTATTTTCTCTCTCCCATTAGCTCCCCTTAAGTCTCACAGGACCCTAGTCCTTAGAGTCCCAGAAGGCTGTAAATACTCTCCAACTTAATTATGGAATCTGAGTTGACATATGAATATAGAATGGGCTATTTTCAACCTCTTATTTAAAACTCAAAAAGGTTTGGACATCTAAGTGTCTAGATAAACACTTTATGAAATGTTTCAGTGCATTTTTTTTTAATTGCTTCTTCTTTCAGGACAGATGTCATGGCTTTTACAAGTGACCTTCTTCTACTGCTGCCTTTTTCAACATTCGAGAGATCTGCAAGACTGTGAGCCCCGAAACTCAAAGTCTTATGTCAACTTTCTTGATCACTTGAACATAAGTGGGTAAGTGAGTCTTATTTATTGGTTACCGTCTGAAAAAGGAAACATTTTCCACCAAGGATTTCAAATTTGAATGGATTTGCATAATAGTTTTTATTAGTATGGAAAAGATTCTGCATCAGAGTTAAACTTGATTTGCTTTTGCTTGAAATGAAGAAGCATCCACTCTGATTGCGTGCACATACACACACAAACAGAAACACATATGCACACATTGCATACTTCACATCAAATTGAAATGGTGAGAAATGAACTAAGAGAACTAACAAAGGCAGGGCAGGAAAGTGCTTCAGCATAGATTTTGATTTTTTTTTTAAAAAGGTAACTTTGAGAATAATAGAAAACTTAGGAATGATATAAATTATAATAGAAGAGCAGAGAGCACATTCTACGGGAAATGAAATCACAGTCTATGAGAAAGCTCAGAAACAAAAGGAGAATTAAACCATGCCATCACTTGTTAACCTTTGTTTTTAGAGCCTATTTGTGTCCTGTAGTGTGGTGGGCACTGCAGATCATTCAGAATACATTGCTATGGTCTCTGCCTCAAAGAAACAGTGTATAGAATGTGTGTATGTAATGTGTGTGTGTGCTACTATATACTACATATATTCTATACTATATATGGTATTACATACTATATTCTATACTATATGTAGTATTATATACTATATTCTATATATATTCTATACTACATATAGTAAAATGTACTATATTGTGTATAGAGTACTATATAATATATAGTATTTACTATAGAATATATGGTGTATATAATCTAAATGTATAGTATATAGTACTACTAGATAGATAGATAGACAGATACCTAAATAGATACATAGATACATACATAAATACATAGAAAGATACATAGAGAGAGAGAGAGAGAGAGAGATAGATAGATAGATACATACATACATACATACATATATACATACATAGAAATAGAGAGATAGATGATAGATAGATAGATAGATAGGTGACAGATAGATAGATAGAGAGATAGATGATAGGTAGACACATAGATACATACATAGATAGGTAGGTAGATAGATAGATGGATAGATAGATAGATCGTACTACAACCTATTCAACATACAAGTATGATTTCAAGATCTCTAAATGTCATGAAGAGGAAAAGCATCTATGTGGATTCTAATAGAGAAGGTTTATTGGAGAATGTGAGACACGATGGGGATGTGAATACAGAAAACAGGCTATACAAGCATATGAAACAGCATGAGAAAACATATAAACACTATGTTTGTGGCCAAAAACAGGGATTATCTTAGATATAATCAAATTCCTGCTTGAATCACAGAAAAAGAAGCTGATGCTTCAGGTTGCTGGTAAAAGCACTTTGACTCACAGAACTGTCATTAAAATTAAGCAACATCCTCTTGACCTTCCCTAACTTTGAGTGTGTTTACCATATCTTTGGCTTACCTAGCCCCTATTCTTTTTGTTCTTTTTTTCTCATCTCCTAATCTAAGGATTAGTGATAGTAAGTTTCATATTATAAAATTTGATAATCAGAGGCACCTGGGTGGCTCAGTCGATTGGGAGTCTGGCTTTGGCTCAGGTCCTGATCTGCAGTTTGCAAGTTGGAGCCACCCTCAGGCTCTGTACTGACACCTCATAGCCTGGAGCCTCCTGTGGAGTCTGTGCCTCCCTCTCTCTCTGCTCCTCCCTTGCTTGTGCTCTCTCTTTCTCTCTCAAAAATAAATAAATATATTTTTAAAAATAAAAAATTAAAATAAAATTTGATAATTCAAGAAAATTTGAAAATTAAAATCAGATTATTCCAGAAAAGTCAGAAATGGCAAAATGAGTTTTACTTGAATAGGCAGCATGAGATCTTGTTTGCTTGTCCCTTAGAAAAAGTGGGGAACAGATTCTGACATAAAATGGCAGTGACATAAGCTATGGAAAGTAGAAAGTATTGTGCCCAATTCGTGAGTCCCCAGAGACCACCAAGGAGCTGACACCGATGCAAGTTACAAAAAGGGTCTTTATTACAAGCTTGAGCCGGGGATCACCCATCTACCAGTGTCATGGCAACAAGGTGAAACCCCGAACAATAGTTAGCAGGGTTTTTATGGGGTAAGGGACAGGGGTGTTACAGTGCACACGTTGTACTTATAACATCATCACATAAGACCAATTACAATTGTACAGCACCCATGGTAACAGCGTTGACCATTCAGTATCTGTGAGGTGTTTGTTATTTTTGGTGGGACCCAATCATGACTTTTGAGAATCCTTTGAAAATGACCAGTTATGAGGTGAGTTCAAAGGGCCCACGTGGGGTTCAGGCAAGTGGTGAGAAATTGGCTAGTTTGTACAGAATAACTGTCTACAGTTCCCAGCCTTGACTCAGACCACAGGAATGTTTTATGATTAGCTGAACTGAGGGAAGTCAGAAAATGGCTTTAGCCTTAAGCAATCTGAGGAACTAGGGCTACATGCAGCCCGAGGTTGCTCTTAATGGAGGCCTTAATTTCAAAATGACGTTACTTAGGCTCTTCAAAAGTAGATTAGAAGTTCAAAAGCTTAAATTTTGGTACTGACTCTACTACTGGACCATATTATTTAGTTGTTTTATATTCTATTAAGATAAAAAATGTTGAGCCTATGATAAACTAGAAAGTATGCTTTATGCTAGGGATTCAGCTATTAATTAAAAAAAAAAAAAGTCATCCCTGCCTATAAGAAGCTAATAATCTATAGAGGGAGCCAAACATGGGAGACGATTTCAATTTAATACCATAATTGCAAAGACAAGGATGCTTCCAGGTTACTTTGCTCAAGAGAAGGCACTTCGTGCATGCACGCAGCCTGAAACAAGGACACAAAGACACTGGTGGTATCTACTGGGTGGTGGGGTAGACTCTTCTTTTCCCCAAAGTGCCATAGAAAGGGAAAGGGTGATGATGACAGGTGCATGGAATCACCTAAGCAAAGGAGCCTCAGCAGAGATGGTCAAGAATGAACTTGTACGAGAGCATCATCTCAGGCTATATCCTACACTCTACAGCGGTCAGAGAAGCCAACAAGTTGAGAGACGTTGAGCGTTACAAGTAAACCTGGTTTCCCCTACATTTCTGAATGGATTCGGAAAGTGAGATGATTAGGGCTCTGGATGTTATTGTAGAAAGAGGTGCTGTCTTAACGGAACTAGGCACTGCAGAAAGGTTTCCCAGCGTGTGAAGTGGAGCGAGCCTGGGAGAGATGGCCCATTGGCTGGCGCAAACCAGGGCCTGTGAGGTCACTGCTCTGCCTCTGATAACAGAAGTGTCATAAACAGGCCCATTCAAAAGGGATAGTGGAAGTGCATTCCTGTATCACAGCAAGACAAATCTACCTTTCCCTCACATCAGCACCCCATTACCAATCCTCCAAGATGCCTTCCACTGTAGATCAAATGATGAGTTGGATTTTCAGACTGTTCTCTACCAGGAATTGTCCTTGAACTTAAAGTAATAATAATAATGTTTGTCTTTATCACTGCACCCATCTGCTGATTGTACTTGGTCACCGACATGCTTTCTTGCTTGTCTCGTTCTTAGCAGGCCATCCACTACGACTGCTGCCAGTAATTGTGGGCACTGACAGATGTTACAAATTCCATGCATAATTTAGATATGTAGATATTCCAAAAAACACTTTTTTTTTTAATTTAGGAAAAATAATAACATCACATTCCGAAGTAGCAAATTATTCCTATTTATGTTTGGCCAGTAGACAAAAAGAGGTAAAAATATTCTGAGCTACATAAAAGTGAAACATATTTAGAATCGTCAAATTAAAATATGTTTATTGTTAAATATTTGGAAAACAAAAATATATCAGAAAGCAATCCCAAATCACTTGTAATCTTGTTATTAATATGGCTTCATATCTTGTTCTTTCTCTTACAGTAGAATGTTCTCGTATCCTCATATAGTTGTGGGAAATATCAAACTTGCTTCTTTGGTTGGTTCTTTTAATCTGTTGTATTTGTCTAATATAGCTAATCATTCTCCCATTACTGGAGATTAATAATTTCTTCTAAAAATCGTCAAAAGGAATATATTTGTCCTGAGAGAGAGAGAGAGAGATCTATCAATATTCTGTGCCTACAAATATGATACTGAAAGTGAAGAACATCAGAAGAATGTTATCATTACAAAGATGGGTATCATTTTGTCTCTTCCAAACTCTTTCACAGAAGGAAGTTGTCCAGATGCAAGGCTTCAACAGGTCCACTGTGGTTACACAGTTCATCCTGGTGGGCTTCTCTAGTCTGGGGGACCTCCAGCTGCTGCTGTTCGCCATCTTCCTTCTCCTGTACTTGACAATCCTGCTAGCCAATGCCACCATCATGGCTGTCATCCGCTGCTGCAGGACTCTGCACACTCCCATGTACGGTTTCCTCTTCATCCTTTCCTTTTCGGAATCCTGCTACACTCTTGTCATCGTCCCTCAGCTGCTGGCCCACCTGCTCTCAGCCACCAAGAGCGTCTCCTTTGTTGCCTGTACCACACAGCTCTTCTTTTTCCTTGGCTTTGCCTGCACCAATTGCTTTCTCATTGCTGTGATGGGGTATGATCGCTATGCGGCAATTTGCCACCCTCTGAGGTACACGCTCGTCATGAACAAAAGGCTAGGCTTGGGGCTGGTTTCCCTGTCTGGAGTCACGGGCTTCTTCATTGCTTTGGTGGCCACCAAACTCATCTGTGACATGCCTTTCTGTGGTCCCAACAGAGTCAACCACTATTTCTGTGACATGGCACCCGTCATTAAGTTGGCCTGTGAGGACACCCATGTGAAAGAACTGGTTCTATTTAGCCTCAGCATCCTGGTGATCATGGTGCCTTTCCTGCTAATCCTTATCTCCTATGGCTTCATCGTCAACACCATCCTTAAGATCCCCTCGGCTGAGGGAAAAAGGAAGGCCTTTGCCACATGTGTCTCCCACCTCACGGTGGTCTTCGTGCACTACGGCTGTGCCTCCATCATCTACCTGAGGCCCAAATCCAAGTCCGCCTCAGACAAGGATCAGTTGGTGGCAGTGACCTACACTGTGGTCACTCCCCTGCTCAATCCTCTGGTCTACAGTCTGAGGAACCAGGAGGTGAAGTCAGCCCTGAAAAGAGTTCTGGGAAAGCCCTGTAACAACCAAGGTGATCTAACAAAAAACCCTAAAAGTAATGAGGGAAGTTACAAGAGAGGTCAAAGGCGGGATGCTTTCTCTGTCTTTTTACCAATCCAGTCCTGACGTGGACAATGTTTCCAAGGACAGGGATCACTAATGCCTGTTTCTTTCCTCCCATTCCAGAAAAAAAACATGAATGAGTCTACATGGTACATTGTCCAAAGCGTGGTTAAAAAACAAAAAACAAAAACAAAACACTGACACTTGGGCAACAGAAAAATGCATAGTTTTTTTAAGGGAAGATAATACTCAAATTGAAAGGTGGACACAGTTGGAAATGGCCCAGATCTTGCAGCTGACCAACCTGCAATGGTCATAACATGAAACTTACGTGAACCTACCATTTTATTTCAATCATTGGAACTACAAGTACTAAGTAGAATTGATTTTAGGTCTATTATTTTATTTTATAATTTTATTATTTTAAATCTACCATTTCAAGCCATGTAATTTGAGATGGTGTTTAAAACTCTTCAAACTGATGAGCCTTGGGGTTTTTTTTCACCTGAACAACTGTTGTGGTTGTTGTTTTTTCCTGTGAATATGTGAATTATCTAGTGAGCACAGAGTTTGTCTTCTGATTGGGAGAGCTGATTCTTGTTAATTAGAGCTTCTGCCCATTGACCCAACTCGTACTAGAATAAAAATCTCCCAGGGCCACCTGGGGGGCTCAGTCGGTTGAGTGTTTGACTTCGGCTCAGGTCATGATCTCATAGTTCATGGGTTTGAGCCCTGCATCGAGCTATGTGCTGACAGCTCAGAGCCTGGAGCCTGCTTCAGATTCTGTGCCTCCTTCTCTCTCAGCCCCTCCCCCTCTCATTCTCTGTCTCTCTCTCTCTGTCTCTCTCTCTCAAAAATAAATAAACATTAAAAAAACTGACGTCTGATTTGTTCAGATTATGTTTCACCACCCAAAGGAAAAACACTTATCATTAATCGTATGGCTGAAAATTACGTGTAAACAGGGAACATGATTTTATATAACAAGGTAAGCAGCACACTCTTTTCCCTGTGGAAATCCCCCTGGCCTTTGTACAATAAATACTCATGTCTATTACATTACTTCCTGGGGTGTCTGCATGTTTCTGCCCTTACAAGTTAAAGTGTCTGCTTATTCTCAAAACCATCTGTGACAGTTACATTTATTACTCTAATTATTCTGCTTGTGAAATGTAATTTGTAGTATGGACTGGTGAAATATGATTGTAATAAAGGTTGTTCATTTCTAATACAGCTAGATGGAGTATTCTGGAAAAATTAAGTATGAGCAAGAAAATCAAAGAAGAAAAGAAAATCACGAAAAATCGAAAAGTGTTATTTGCTTACACAATGTTGCAAGTCTCTCAGTTCCTGTTTATCTGTAAATTCATGACCATTTTTGTAACGAATCATGGGTGGACTTAGGCTAGGTGTGCTCTAAAGAGCTCTGATCACATGGGTCAATACTGAAAGGAAAAGCCTTATCCCTAAATGAAAATATTGATAAATATGTGTATACTTAAGCATCTTGAGCTGAAATAAAACATTTCAGTTATATAAGGGTCATTTTCTTCAATTTTTGGCCCTACCAGACTTTTTTGAATTAGTCACCCAACTGTCTGACTCTGTTGGGATCAGGTGAGAGGGCTTCTCCTTTATATTTTCAATGAGGTAAAAAACTTTTTTTCTTGTGGATGATATAGAGACACAATAAGCCAATAAAAAGGGAGAGGAGCTTAGTCGATTGATTGTCCTTGAATGCTAGTTAAGGCCGTACAACCTTACAAGTGCTCAAGGTGTGTATACAGTTACAGCCTTTGTTTCCCCAAGATGTGGCCCAAATCCACGCGTGCCTTGTCAGCAAGAAGTCCACTACTTCCTTCTCGAGGTTCTTAAGCTGGATTTTTCAGTAGCCCGGAGACATTTAAGAAGAGGGTCAGGGGGTACTTGGGTGGCTCAGTCGGTTGAGCATCTGATTCTTGATTTCAGCTCTGGTCATGGTCTCAGGGTTGATGGGTTGGAGCCCCGCATTGGGTTCTGTGCTGACAGTGCAGAGCCTACTTGGGATTCTCTTTTTCCTTCTCTCTCTGTCTTTCCCATCCTCTCTCTCTCTCTCTCTCAAAACAAATAAATAAATCTATTGAAAAAAATAGAAAAAAAGAGAGAGAGAGAATGGTTTCCAGACAAAGCAGAGCACAGGCAGGTTCACTGTGCTGTGGGACCCCTGCCTGCAGGGTGCCTTTCCTGAGCTACAGGACTCGGAGGCAGCGCTGGTGCCCAGACCACAGTAGAGGGCTTCCCGGGTGACGTGGCTCTTGGAAGTATGTTATTCCATGTCCCCCACATTAACAGAAGGTCCTGACACATGTACTCCCCGGGTCCTAGCTCTGCGCCCCTTTAATTCATAGTCACAACCCGGCAATGTAACCATTGGCATGCCCTCAGCCAAGTTTTGGAGACAAGGAAGCCAAGTGGACACATGGGGATTCTTCTTTGTCCTAAAGCACACTGGCTTTTGTCCCAGCAGTGCGCTGCTTGGGTTAGAGTAAGAGCCTGTAGCCAACATTCACCTTCTCTCATTGCTCTGGCTGAGTCCTCCGTCAATTCACACAGTAACGGCTGAAAACAAGTCCTGATCCTTAACTCCACCCACTACCGCGCAGACGTGGTTATCCTTCCCAAATGAAAACACTGTAGCTGATCCCGACCAAACACTCCTTCCTGGGTCAAAGGGTAAAATAAAATATCCTCCAAGTGAGAAATGGGTGAAGTGTGTCACCCGCACTATCTGCCTACAGCTTGCCGGGGGAACCCTGGGGGGTGTTGAAAATCCGAAGTTGTGTTCCTTCAGGGTTCAGCTTGCGACTGTCGTTTGCCTCCCTGTTGGTGTGTTACCCCGTTTCTAGTCGAAACTGTGTCTCTTACCAGTTGCTTCCTTTTTCTTCTTCTGACCTAGTGTCTGTCTGTGCACCTGCACCTCAGATCATCCCCTGCAGACCTTCTTGTAAAAAAATAAACCCACTTGGCCATAGTATTTTCATGAATATTTGAAACATAAGTATAATCACCAGATCTTGTAAATATTCTAGTCCTCAGACTGCTCTCTCCTCCAGCACCAGACCGTCCCTGAAATTCACACTTAGTGTTTGAACAACTTGCTGACTTACTTGTTAGTACATTAGTGAATTTTAACACATTTGAGAAAAAAGTTTTCTGAGTTATTTTAATATATTTCTTATGCAATCACATGCAAATAATGCAACAAGAACACACAAATACCTATATTTCCCGTCTTTTTATGGTCAGGTGCTCCCTTCATATTCTGACTATGCTTTCAATCTATCTGAGGCAAAAGACTAATTTTCCTCCAAAAGTATTATGTGCCAGTGCTTTTGTAAACTACAGTGAAAATGAGTTACATAAAACCAAAATCAAAAGGACACACAAGAACTTTTCTCGCCTTACTGTTAGATTAAGACACATAGAATTACTCAGCTGAATTGTTGTAAGCATTTCTAGGTATTTACTTTCAGTTTCTAGGCTTCTTTTGTCAGAGATGAGTAACAATGTTTCTCGCTCCCACCCGGCTCCTTCCATCCGCTTTGAATTTCAGGCATTGTTCTGGGCTGCAGGTTATTTCCAGAACACTTGGAACCCAGCAACATTCAAAACTGAAGGCCCATCTGTGGGCTTGTGATATTTCAGCTTGGAGTCCCCCCATGAGCGAGGCCCCTCTCAGTTCCGGTGAAATCTCAGCCACCCCTCCTGTGATCCAGCAGAAAGAAACGGCCAGTCCCTCCCTCCTACCCTCAGCCCGGCCCGCAGCACAGAGAACCGGCTTCTGACCCCCAGCCCCTGCACCGGCTTCCAACCATCTGTTCATATGGCTACCTCCTGCCCCGCAGTGTATTTTAACGGGCATTTCAAATTTAAAAAAAAAAAATCTTTTAATGCTTATTTATTTTTGAAGGAGAGACAGCAAGTGGGGGAGGAGCAGAGAGAGAGGGAGACACAGAGTTCAAAGCAGGCTCCAGGCTCTGAGCTGTCAGCACAGAGCCCGACGCGGGGCTCGAACCCACTAACCGTGAGATCGTGACCTAGGCCAAAGTCGGATGCTTATCCGAATGAGTCACCCAGCCCCTCACCTCCCAACCCAGGGCATTTCAAATTAAACACCCCAAACCAAATTCTCAGTCTGTACCCTAACTCTGTACCTTTCATATTCCTACCTTAGTTCATGGGAGTCCAGCTTCTTAGAACAAAGGCCCTGAGTCATTCCTAAATTCCTTTTGGATACGTATATTGCTACTTCCACACTTGCCCCTGTTCCCAAGTCTGTATTCCATTAAGCGGCCAGGATGATCCTTTGAAAAACAATTCAGATTCTCTGTCTTGTCAGGTCGGAGCCTCCCAGTGGTTCCCATCCTGCTAAGGGAAGGACTCTGCCTCCAAGCTACCCCGGGACCGCCAGGCGTTCGGAGGCTCACTCTGTCCAGACCTCATTTCTGGCCACTCTCAGAGCAGAGGCGTACAGGGAACAACAGACAATGGCAAGGAAGGTGTCACACCTGCCCCTCGCCTGCTCTTTGCACTAAATTTGATTTTCAACCTGTTGAAATGTGTATTTTTATTGTCCAGTGAAGTTTTTGTGCGTGGATGGAAAAACTCACTAAAACGTGCACTGGCCTGAAGTCTAGATGGCTTGAAGCCCTCTTAGTAACAACATAAATACATCAAACTGTATTCCCCAAACACTAAATCCTCACAATCTTTCTATGTTTAAGCATTAAACACACAACTAATTATGGAGCATAAAATACTTGAAATGAGTAAAATTAATGAAGCACTGGGAAGGCAAATCCAAGAGGAAAATTACCTAGGAGTTTATACAAATTGTGTTTGTGTGTTTCTTCTCTAATAAAATGGTAGCAGTTGATTTTTTGTTTATATTTTCCTCTATAATAAAAATGGAGTAAGGAAATCACTAAAAATAAAAATATGAATAAGTAAGGATTAAAGAAATGAAGATTCAGCTGAGCATATCTATATATATTCTATATATTAGAATAAAATTCTAATTATTTTACCAGGGGATTTTCAAGTCTAGAACTACCTTACTGATTTTAATCTTTTTAATTAACTTATCATTTTTTAACTTGTGAGGTGTTATTATACTATCATTGTGGTGTATTTACTCAGTCTGTTAGCACTGGTTAAATTTATACATTTTAGCATTCATTACGATTATTTTACAGAAATTCCTAGTATTTAATATAACAGAAATTATAATTTTTAAAAACATATATTTAAAATAATATAATTAATATGATTCAGAGATATCTAAAATAAGTCTCTGGGGATGTGGAAACTGGGTTTGCATAGTTACTTTTCCTTTTTTAGATTTTGACTAAATCATCTTGTTGGAATGCACTTCCAAACTTTTTTAGTGCTTGGTTACTATGTGTGACCATCTACAATGATTAACTGTAGAACCCCTTTTTCCACTTGGTTATTAGATGGCGGTTATTGCTGGTGAACAATCTTTCCTGTATTTGATTTCATGAATAATTTTTCTGGAGTACCCTGGCTTATTACGCCTTCTGCTCAGTCTTGCCTGTCTATACAAATAGCCATGTCTACAAAGGAAACCATAATTAGTAGATATGTCTGTACATAACACTACTACCTATTAAAATCAATAAAAAGTTAAATACATACTATAATATTCAAACATATTTTGCTTTGTAACTAAACACATTTTTAACTGTATTTATTTATTTTGAGGGAGAGAGAGCACTAGCAAGGGAGGGGCAGAGAGAGACAGGGGAAGAGAGAATCGCAGGCAGACTCTGAATTGTCAACACAGAGCCCGATGCGGGGCTCAAATTCATGACCCCCTGGTATCATGACCTTAGCCACCCAGGCACCCCACTTTTATTTGATATTTTGAAAATCATTGTTGTTCTTCTCTTGAAGAATATCGGTACCATCCTTTGGTCTGGACATAGGAAATGGAAGCAATGACCTCTCCTAGAGGGAATTTCCTTTTTTCCCCTTAAACGTAGAAAGTGGGTTCTGAGGCACATACAGCATTTTAGTGGTAAGCAAAGGTGTCACTGATAGTACGTGGGCAATAGTTTTCATACGACAGATTAAGAACACTTTTTACGTCTTTTAACATACTGAGTTCACCCTGAGTTTATGTGAATCACCTGTAACCTCTATGATTTCAGTCACTGTGATGAGGAAAGCAGCTACTTTAGCCAGCGGACTGAAACTGAGGAAAAGCTGTGGGGAGTCTCTATCGAATCCCAAGAGAGGAGTCAGAGCCAGAGCTGGCCTTACAGGACACAGGAGGCTTTAGGTTAAACACAAGCAAGGCCGCTTCGCGAACTACTACCAGAGACAAAGTACTGAGGAGGCAGCCACAGCCCTCGCGTCCACGTGGAGCAGCCCTCTGTAGAGGCACCTGAGAACCGGTGGGAGGCGTTGGGTACCAGCAGAAACGGAAGTCCTGAAGCTGTTCCAAGCAACCCCATGGGCAACAGACAGTTAGCCAATGGGGGCGTGAACTGGAGAGGGCACCGGACAGGGTGCCGCTTCGTAAGCAATGCTGAACACTGGTTGACGTGTACGTGAGGCATACTTTGAATTAGGGCCAGTGCAGATAAGCAGACCAGGGTCACTGTGGTGTGAGTGCGCAGGTGAATGGGCACCATTTTGTAGTCATCCAATGTTAAGGCCACATACCACTTGTGCTTATGAGTTCATCTCCTTTTACCTAATGGCTGCTCTCCATTTATTCTGAATCCTCCAATGACTTTCGGTCCCAGTGCAGTGGACTATGAGGCCCCTTTATGAACTGACCCCAGCTCATGGGCCTCACCTCCTGCCATGTTCCCCACAATTCACTCCAGTATAGCCAGCCATGTGGGAGTTTCTAGAACACACCCAGTACAACACTGCTTTTGTCTGCAGTTCCTTTGCCTGGAATGAACGCTCTTCCCCGAGGCACTACATGCCATGGTTCTTGTTCTTGTTTTAGGTCTTCTCTCAAAAGCCACCTTCTCAGAGGCGCTCATTCTGTCCACTGTCTTTGCAATAATAGCCCATTTTCCTCTTTGATCTCCTTTCCCAAATCAATCTGGGATCCTACAATGTCACTATCTCACATGAAGTATTTTTATTTGCTTCCTGTCTGTCTCCCCAACCCTCCACTATCACATATGTTCTGTGTGTAAGAGATTTACCCAGTGTCTCTGCTGTATTTCATTACCTATCATGAGATAGGCTTCCGACAATTATTTGTTGAATGTGGAGTATAGTGTTTTAAGCATGGGTTTGGGAGCAAAACTTACAATGCTTACTAGTTATGTGACCTTTGTCTCTTCGCTTATAAAATGGGAATAATGGGGGCACCTGGGTGGTTCAGCTGGTTAAGTGCCCAACTTTGGCTCAGGTCATGATATCATGGCTCATGAGTTTGAGCCCTGCACCAGGCTCTCTGCTGATGGTACAGAGCCTATTTTGGATTCTCTGTCTCCCTCTTTGTCTCTCTGTCCCTCCTCAGCTCACACTCTCTCTTTCTTAAAAATAAGCAAATAAACATTAATAAATGATAACAAAATAAAATGAAGTGTGAATAATGGTGTCTACCTCAGAATTGCTATGAGGATCACATGAGTTAATATGTATAAAGCATGTAGGAGAGTTCTTCTCTATAGCAGGATCCACTTAAATGTTTATTTTTTTTATTTTTTTAACGTTTTATTTATTTCTGAGAGAGAGAGAGAGAGAGAGAGAGAGACAGTGTGAGCAGGGGAGGGTCAGAGAGAGAGAGACATAGAATCATAAACAGGCTCCAGGCTCTGCGCTGTCAGCACAGAGCCCGACGTGGGGCTCAAACCCATGGACCGTGAGATCATGACCTGATGGCCACCCAACCTACTGAGCCACCCAGGGTCCCCAAATGTTTATTATTTTTCGATCAGTTTTAACCATACCATAAGATAGGAACTTCTCCTATTTGCTGTAAGAATTGAGCTTATGGTCAGTTTGTGGTCATTATCACATGATCAGCAATGGGATTGTGAACTTACATTTTGTTCACACTTGGACCATGGTCATAGAAATGGGAAATGTAAGAGAACTTATAAAGAAGGTTTTGCTGGCTGACTATTCAGGAACAATGATAAAGCGAAGAAAAGAAAGTTTAAATCTTAAGAACCAACAAATGGCAGGACCATTTACCGGAGAAAGTAAGAGAGGGGAAGGAGTCAACAAAGAAAAAGCATAAACTAATTTTAAATCCTTAAGGACAAAATCCAAGTCCCCCAAATCTATAGGTCCCTCCTGTGGGTAACCCGAAGAAGCTTTCAACATGACCTCTCCCCCTCACACAGGCTCCAAAGCAGGTTGTGCATAAATATCTTTCTTCCCCCACAGGTGACATTCTTGGAGGCTGAATCCCTGTCCCAGTTTAAGTGGCTCCACTTAATCCAGTTGTCCACATCCTCACCTTTCTCCATGCATTTGGGTAGAAGACGGCAGACGGACCTCCTCTCAGTCATGGCTGGCCGACAGCATATGGCTCCTGAGCTCTGCCAGGCTTAGCCCAACGTGTCCTGATCCCTCCCGTCCTGCTGAAGCGCCAACGATCACTATCACACCTGGAGAATTCAACAACAACCAAGACTAGGGTCTCTATCTCTTTTTTCAAAAGACCTCCTAGTATTTCTACTGCATTTGTGTGCACAACAGAATACAGTAAGCTCCAGGTTTGTACCATCAGCAAGGCAGATTTCTCTACTGGTTTTCTAGCTGGCAGGACTAGAAAGTGTTATCCTGAACTATTGAAAACACCTCCCTGGTCCTCTAGAGAAATAAATCCACGTTCTGGAGTTTCAGCCAGAATTACATGGTTTTGAAGACACCTTTCTTCTGGGGTGATTTAGTGGCATGCTTTGCTCTTGAATGATAGGGAACCTTGCACTTCATCATAGAGGGCTCCAAGCAGCCCTGTAAAATTCTGCCTTCCTCCCCAGACGCCTCTACATAAGCCGTGTGAGCATGCCTTGCCGAAGGTGATGGCTGCTCAGTGGTAAAAGCCTGACGCTGAGACTTTGTTCATGGGTAAGAGTACAGCCTGGGCACAGGGTCACAGAACCCTGTCTCTTAACTTGAAAATGCCCCATATAAAGAGAGACACGTGTCTACTAGGAAATCTGCACAATCTGCTCAATTATCTACGGGAAGGCGTCAGCTGGACATCGGCATGAACTCATCGCCTGGATGGCTTTCTGCTCCCTAACGGGCTCAGACAAAGGTGCCTCAAAGTAAGTCAATAATTTTAAAATCTATATTTTAAAGAGTGAGGGGAAAACTATAAATAACAATGATAATAATTATAAGCCAAACTAATACAGAAAAGTAAACACATCTGTCTGATCGCTCTTTTCCTTTGCTACCTTGACTCTGCCCCTCCTCGGTCCCCATGTCCTCTTCCTGACTGATCACTCAAAGTAGGAATTTCTTCCCTGACTACATGCAACATGAAGACACACGTGGACAAACAGTCGGAGAAATGAGAACGCTGGTCCAGCCCCGTCCTCGCTCTGACAGGAGACATCTCCTATATCATTATTTTCTTGAAAAATCTCTGAAGACACACAGATACCCCAACCACTGTGAAGTCTGGAGCACTCACCTGCCCCCCTCAGCTTTGGTGAGAGACACAGGGGGACAGAGGGAGTCTTAATGAGAACACAAGCAGATGATGCAGTGATGTCAAAGGGGAACGGATTAAGAAAACATCACTCAGACAATGAATTTATTTCAATCAGCGTTTACTGAAAAACATTTTGCTCTAAACCAGCTACATAATCCGTGGGGCCAGGACAAAACAAAAACACAGTATCTCCAAGTTTTATTAAGGATTTCAAGACAGCAACCACTGCACAGTTCACACGCCCATGAAGCCTGCCCTGAATCCAGGTCAGATTTTTGGTCACAGGTACCAGTACAGACACCTGCATCCTGCTGTCAAGCAACTGAGAAAAAAAAAAGAAAAAAAAAGAGCAAAAGCCTAAATAATCACTGTTCAGAGTAGGAAGAGATGAATCTATTTGGGACCATTCATCCAACCTTGCAAGAGCTTTCAATTGGGAAATCTAGGGAAGCATCCATGAGAAAGGAGCATCTGAATTAGAGTTTGAAGAGTCAGTAGCAATGAAGATGTGGCCAAGGCAGGAAAGATATTGCTGGAAGACAGGAAAAAGAAAAAAGAATACAGATTTCTGAAGGGGTCAAGATTCCCACCATAACAAGCCTTCTTTTAATCAAAACTATGCTTTGTTTATAAGTATGAACCATGTGTAAGAAGCAGCAGACACAGATTTTCTATGGGAGGGAAAAGCTAATGTTGCCAGAGTGGGGTTAGGCTTGCTTTCAATTTCTTTAAAAGTTTGTTCTTGACCCATGATTCCCGAGGGGCATGGAGCTGGTGTCCAGAGGTCCTGCGTCCCCAGTCGTTGGCTGCTGTGGCGGGGTCAGGACTGGATGCACCGGGCGCCACGGCTCTCCCATGTGAGCTATAGGACAGGAAGAGGGTATTAATCCCAATGAAGGGAAATCAGAGAGAAAGTGGGGAAGGTGGAGGCAAGAGGAATGAGTTGATTAGAAGGGGAAGAAACAGAAGGAGAAGAGGAGGATCACCTGAGCTTTCTAAGCGAGCAGTGCAGGCCCAGCAGCAGGAGCAGGGTGACCAGCACCGCCAGACACATCAGTGTCAACAGGGCCCAGTCTCTACCTTGTTGGGGAGAAAGCAAGGACGTCACTCGGCAACGCTCAAGGTTCTCTGTGCAGTGGCCACCGTGGATGCTTCTCATTCCACGGGGCGGGGAGGGGGGGGTGAGGGAGGAGGATCCTTCCTGAAACTTCCATCTGCATTTTCTGGAGCTCTCAACCCAACTCCTCCTAAGTCTGCACCCCCATCGTCTGCCACATCTCTTTCCCAGAATCACCGGATGCCTCTTTTTCTCCTTAGTACATCGAATACCCTACTTCCATTTTCTTGAACTTAAACGCAGTCTTTCTCTGCTCGTGTTTGGACCCTCCTGTGCTTCTGTTCTCCTGTGCAAAGCATCCCCGCCCATCTCCCAAGTACCTCACTCAGGGACCCCAGGACTCCGGGACGATTGTCGTTTCCCAGCCGGGCCCCAGGTCCTTCTCACCCCAGTGGATGACTATGTCGTGGCCTCCTAGACTGCTGTGTCTCACTCGGCAAGACAGGCCGGCCGCCTCCCGCGCCGCCACCTCCAGGGTCACCCGGAGGTACCACGTCTCGTCGGCATGGGGCAGGACGTCGCCTCGCCGGGTGCCCGGCTGCTCCTGCTCACCCCGCATCCACATCACCCACACTGGCTTTGGGTGGAAGCCGGAGACGTGGCACACCAGCAGCAGACGGCCAGGGCCGGGACTGGGGCCGCTGGACAGCCAGACCTCTGGCCTCACTGCAGAGAAGATGAGGACACATGGATCTTAGGGGGCACATAGGCCCGAGCTCAGTGACTCGGTGGTCTTAGCAGTTGGAGTGATCACTTCCTTCTCTCATCTGGGAAACAATCCTAAGCCCACATATCCCACTCTCTAGCCTCTCAGCGCACGTTTCAAAGGGATGATAGAGTCTGACAGGAAGCCCTCAGCCCTGGGGATGCTCACCTGGTCGTCCCAGCTCGGACTTCCCTGCTTCAAGGATTCCTGCCAGAAACTGGGGGCAGGTGTTGCTGAGAAGGCTCAGCACGATTTCCTTAATGTCACGGTAGCGGTTGAGCACGGCACAGACTTTCTGGGCCCGACTCCCTGCTCCCGGAGATGGCTGCCAGGAGTTTCCCTGGAAACTCAGGAAATCTGAGCCTTGATATGCCCCATTGAAGAAGATTCCGGAAGCCTTCCCAGCATGCAATGTACAGCCAGCTGACACCTGGAGCTCAAAGGGGTCTGGGGATGGGCGAGGAGAACAGAATCGTGTGGAAAGAGTCACCGGGAGGAAAAGCCACCGGTGTAGAAATAAAGGGAGTCAGGGGAAGGGAAATCTGCCGGAAATCACACAGCACACTGGCGTCAGGTGGCTGGGGGGTGGGGGGGCATCTGTGGGAAGACACTGTGAAGATAAGAAGGTATTGAGGAATAATGAAGGTGCAGGTGCTGGACGGGGAAGGTGTTGGGAAGTTGAGGGCTGGACCCGAAGGGCTCACTTGGAAGGGGTTAGGTTCATCCGGGCCGATTGACTCTCGGGGCGGGGGGCGGGGGGAAGAGGGCAGAATTCTGGCTGGGAAGGGCATCTGAGCCTGGGGGCTGGAGAGCAGAAGATCACAAGGAGACAACTGTGCAAAGAACTAGAACACGAAGGTGTGTGTGGTGGTGTGGAGGGCTGTGCGCTTACAAGCCATTGGGTGCATATGGTGGGTGGATGGGTGGGTGCTGGATCCTGAAGCAGAAGGGAGAGCATGAGCCCCTGGGTGGGGGGGGGGGGGGGGACAGGGAGCGAGTCTGGAAGGTTGGAGAAGGTCAGAGCCCCTTTGCAAGGGGGGGCCGGAGCCTCGAGGCAAATACCAGCTTGGAACCGTGAACTCACATTCGAACTGGAACTCCCGGGCAAAGGCCTGCACTTCGATGGTGAACCCGTGGAAGTACAGCTGGAGCAGGCTCTGGAGGTTCTGCAGCATCTGGGTGCTGAAGTTGCCCCGGGACCAGGGCCACAGGAAGCGGATGGTGCCCAGCGCCGGGTCCCAGCCGTGCGTCTGCAGATCGCCCAGCCAGCCCGAGCCCTGCGAGTGCGCCCAGCTGTGGTTGGCAAACGAGGCGGCCTGGAGCACGCGGAAGGAGAGCGGGTCCTCTGCGGCCGGGCCAGGGGGGCCCGGGGCCCGGGGGGCTGAGGCTGGGCCAGGGCGGGCCAGCGGGGGAGCGGAGGGATGGAGACAGTTACACGGGTTGCACACATTCCCGCATCCCGGCCGCTGCCCGGCCAGCCCGCTCTCCCCAAAACCAAGAAGGGAAAATGAGATGGGGCAAGACACGGTGGCCAGCCTGGGGCGCAGACGCCGAGGGCGTCTTGTGGGAGCCTATGCCTTCCTCCCCTCCCCCCTCCCCGGGCTCCCCTGCAGCGCCCGGCCCCAGGGATCTTCCCAGGGCCCTTCCTACCCCCTGTGCCTGCAGCAGGATGGAGAAGTCCCGGGAAGGTCAGGAGCAGCGCGAGCAGCATGGTGGCTCCGGAGGAGGACGGCTCACGCGACCCAGATAGCGCTGCCCTCCGGCCCTGCCGCCTTCACACGGCTTCCCCTGCAGCCCACACAGGCAAACCTCACCCTCTGCCCACTTCCCTGTCAAGAAACCCTCCCGCCTCCCCACGGCAGGCCGCGGGGCTCTCATTTCCCCTCCCTCTCGGCCGATTCTCTCCCGAGTTCCCCGCCCCTGTGCACGGCTACTGTCACAGGGCTCCCGGCTGCAGCCTGTGGTCCCGCTGGAGAACTAGACCTTTCCGGCTGGGAGCAATCAGGTCCACACCTGGGCTATGTGTCCTCCTCTGTGGAGAGAGGGGCTAGCAGGTGCTCCCAGGGGCCCTTGGCCTGCAGCCCCTCCTCCTGCTGCTGCAGCTCCTTCTCCCTCTTCAAGGCCCCCCACTCCTCTCCTCTACTTCTCCCATTTCCCCTGTTCTTTCTGCTTTCACCCCTCTTGCTGCCCTCTCTGCTCTCCCTTCCCTCACCCTCTCCGTCTCCTTATTCTGCTCTTCTCAAGTCATTGGCAGAAGACACAAGCCATCCGGGGTGCAGCCGTACCACCACCACGAAGAGGGGCATTAGTGCCAATACAGGCGACCCAGTATCTACAGGGAGGTCCTTGGGCTCAGCTTCTGCCGTCCGACCATCGGTGGCTGCTGAAGGGGGTCTGAGGGTGGGCTTGCCCCGCACTGGTGAGCTGGCAAGCAGGTCATTCTCATTCAAGAAGTATGAGTGGGTCTGGAGGGAACACACAGGGGTCTGGGATCTCTCCCACCCTCACAATTAGTCTAGATGTCTGTGGCAAGCCTCCCTCTGGGTGTGAAGGGCTCTCAGCTAATGGCCTGGGAGCACTGGGGATCCCCGGGCAGTGTCCGGCCAGAGCAGGGACCTGGTGTGTTGCTGGGAGAATTAAGTACCGTGTGCAGTCTCTATTTTTGTTCCCTGCATTGCTGCTTGCTGGGGCAGCCTGAAGGCAATTGGAATTCCATTCCTTTGTTGGGTTTTCCTATATTCATCCAACCGACATTGTGTCAGAGCCCATCTGGTGCCAAGAAATGTGCCAGGCACACGATGTCAGAGGTAGAAGCCCTTTGGAGGAAACCAAATAAACCCAACCTGAAAGCTCTACTTTTCTTATAGAGAGGACTAGAGAATAGTGGCCATTTACTAGAAAAGGCCCACATTCCCTCTCGTCCTGGTATGATTTCTGAATTCTAAGGGTAAAGAAAAATCTTACAAAGTTTCAGACAAAATGCTGGCTACTTTCAAAGAAGAATAGCACTGGCTTCAGACACCTCACACACAAGGCTGTGGGGAATATTTCCAAGCTGAGATAATAAGATAATCCAAAAGTTTTTTATTCAGGCAAATTATCCTACTCTGCCAAGGCCAAAATTACCCCATATCTGAACACTCAAAAATGCAAAGAATATGCCACATACGCCTTTCATAAAATCAATTGTCTGAGTAAAACCAAAATCGACCTGAATGGAAAACCCAAGAAATTATGCAAGAAATACTAGTATCAAAGTGTGTTAAAATATATATAGATATCTTTAAATAATCTCTTAAAATGTACTTGTCAAATTTAACACCTTTGTGTAATATTTCAGGAAAAAAAATTAATAATAATTGAAGAATCAAGTTCCATGTTACCTCACCAAAACCTGGGCAAGGAGATGAAAAGAAAGAGAGAAACAGGCTTATTTCAAATTGTATCTTAATGGCCAAGAACATAATGCAAAATGGAGGCAGAAAAATTGGTTAAATCATAATGTTTATAGAAAACTAGAAGGGCACCTGGGTGGCTCAGCCGGTGAAGTGTCCAACTTCAGGTTAGGTCATGATCTCTTGGCTCGTGAGTTCGAGCCCCACATCAGGCTCTGTGCTGATGGCTCAGAGCCTGGAGCCAGCTTTGGATTCTGTGTCTCCCTCTCTTTCTGCCCCTCCCCCACTCATGCTCTGTCTCTCTCTCTCTCTCTGTCTCTCTCCCTCAAAATAAATAATACATTAAATAAATTTATAGAAAACTAGATTACATCGAGGTGGCAGAGAGCACGAATGTTTAGCTCCTAGTCCCAAAACACTTAAAATATTAAAAATGTATGTAAGGAAAAGACACATAAATCTATTATCATGCTGGAAAATGGTGAAAAGACCCAGCCTCAGAAGAGGAGCTTTAAAGTCCTTCGAAAAAAGAACATGTCTGCAAATGTGGTAACAAACACAGGACTCAGTGGGTACTTGATAGACAGTCAATGACATTGGCTTTATTGAGCTTTCCGTTGCTGGAGGGCTTGGCCATGGGAACTTGACCTTGGACCTGCTCACTTAGCAGAGCCATATGTCTGTCTGCGGCTGCGCATGTGCACTACACATGCCCGTCGGGGACAAGGGTAACTAGACCCCCTCAACAGCACTTCCTTTCTTCTTTCAAGACCTCTGAGGATGTGTTGGGTCACATGCACAGCAAAGTGGAAGTCGGTGGGTTGTAATCTGAGTAGCAGCCTCCTAGTTCTACAAAAAGTCAGGTGGATTTGATAACTTTACTTTAAATTTTATCTTAGGGGCCTCTGGGTGGATCAGTCGGTTATGTGTCCAACTCTTGGTTTAGGCTCAGGTCATGGTCTCAAGGTTCGTGAGTTCAAGCCCTGTATTGAGATTCTCTTTCTCTCACTCTCTCTGCCCCTCCGTCTTCCCACCCACTGTCTCTCTCCCTCAAAATAAATAAACATTAAAGAAATTAAATAAATTTTATCTTAAAAAACTAAAGAGCAAGATCTTACATATTTCTGCTAAATAGTAATGAAGAGAGTATTTGCCTTACCACACAGTAAAGCATACTAGAAAGTTAGTGTAAAAACAGATGTATAGAAACGTGTTCCATGAGAGAGGTGGGTACTGCAATGCGGGCACCAAAGGGCAACGGGAGACAAGCCAGCAGCAGTTGGTGGGTAAGCCCCTGTGACATGTGCCTCACTGAATATCGGTCTTGTTTTTCCAGGAGGGGAAGGATTTTGAACGTGAAAGGGATGTGGTTGAAATGGCATTTAGGAAAATTCCCTAAACCCCAATGAGAGTCACAGGCGAGTGTATCAGGGATGAGGCCACCAAGACGGCAGAGGATGTTAGTGACCTGAACAAAGGCGGGACCAGTGAGTATGGAGAGGAGTGGAAATAACAGAGATAGCTTGGGGGTGACCGGGATTAACCAAACCAGGGGGTGTGATCAGCAGGAGGTAGATAGTGCCACTCACAAAGGCAGACAACATGGGTTTGCAACAGATGGATCGGAGGTGCACTGTCCAATCTGGGGCACGCTGAGCCTGAGGCTCAGGTGGGGGTACTGGGAGGGGGGGCTCACAGCACATGCATTGTCGCACCTGCCAGTTACAGACCTCACAATGTTATACCCAGATCGCAGTATCGTCACCGACCAGAGACCACCAGGGAGACCGAGTCACGCATGCAAAGGCAAAGGGCTTTATTACGGGCTTAAGCTCAGGCTCACAGACTTCACCAGCATATGGGTCCGTGCTGAGAGCCTCGAACAAGGGCAGAGTAGGGTTTTTATGGGGTTTGTGACAGGGGAGTTACAGAAGTGGTGACACGGGAACAGTGATCCAATCATAATTATACAACATCATTGACAGCGGGTTTGACCACACACACTGTCTAGAGTATTCGTTACTTTTGGCGGGATCCAATTACAACGTTTAGAGTACCTTTAAATTCAACCAATCACAGAGCGAGCCTAGGGTCTTGTTCGGCGACTAACGGGTTAACTTTAACATTAGGTAACAGGGTCCTATCTATAGTTTCTATCTCCAGGCCTCTCCCTTAGTAATGTGGAGGGTGGTCGCTGGCCTTCTTGATTGGATGTTGCAAGGGTGGTTTCTCCTGCCTTGGGCAATGTGTAACTGCCTGATAGTTTCGGGAAAGCTGAAACTCAAGCCTTCTAGTTCAGAGGGGAAACTTAAAGCCTGTCATGGAGTCAGTTTGGTTTAGACGTTTAGACTTGTGGCCTTACAACGAAACCTGCCGACCATGTGCTGCCACTGAAAGAGGGACAGATGTCTATGAATCTGTCCCTCTTTCAAATTATATTTTTAAGTAAAATCTAATGAGCATTATTATCTGTGTCTTAGAAACTCTTTTAAGTCACCGGGTGCCTGGGTGGCTCAGTCGGTTAAGCGTCTGACTTCAGCTCAGATAATGATCTCACAGTTTGTGGGCTCGAGCCCTGCTTTGAGCTCTATGCTGACAGCTCAGAGCCTGGAGCCTGCTTCCCAATTCTGTGTCTCCCTCTCTCTCTGCCACTCACCTGCTCTCTCTCTTTCTCTCTTTCTCAAAAATAAATAAACATTAAAAATTAAAGGGAAAAAAAAGAGTAAGGAAGGAGATTATATAACCTCCTTGTCCTGGAGAGTTTAGTGTGAATAAAAAGACTCATACAAATAAACATATAAATTCTACTTCCAATAGATTGGAATCACATGCCAAGCATCCGTGTTACAAGTAACTGTACTAATTTGAGGACCTTTAGGATCGCTTACAAAATAAAATAAAGCAAAAACAAGTTAGAGATAAAACAATTGCATTATTCCACAAAAAATCAATCCCAATTATGATGAGGGAGCAGAAGGCAAGCTAAGGGTAAAGCACAAGTCAGCCCCCCAGCCCCAGGTGGGATGTGTGTGACATTCCTGGGGCACTCCAGGCTGCCCAAGAACAAAGGAAAGGAAAGAAAACAAATGGCTAACTGATAGAGCTCACAGTCCTGCAGGATGTAAGTCTCCATCAGTTTGCAAATATCTTCATAAATTACAAAAACAAGGCAATCTTATCAACAGCCTGATCTCCAAAAACCTATAGACTCAGTTTCCTGGAATCCCAACACCAGCCTCCCCCACAGTGATGTGGGGAACAAACGCAAGAAGGAAAAGGCAGGTGAAATTAAATTTCCTCAAAACCTGCAGACCATTGAAAAATACTTGAGGCAAATAAAGAAAACGACATTTCTCCAGGAACCCCCTGCTGTGTTAAGGTTAAGGTCTTACTAGAGGGAAAACAACCTCAGCTTGACAATAGCAAGTA